GGGTGCAAAACACGGGTGGGAGAATATTCTCCACTGGTAGAAACATGTTAATGCTGGAGGAGGTGGAGCCTGTCCTGTGAGCCTCTGATACTTGCTAATACTGAGAGAATTCTGAATAGGAGAGTTCTTGCCTGGAGTTCTTGCTGATGATCTTCCTTGAGCTGTTGATTCAGCTGTATTGGGCACATCAATATACCATCAGTAACTGTGGCAAGCAGTTCCTGGCAATCAAAAATATTCTTTACTATTCCAGATGCTCACACTGACAACTGATGACAAGACCAATGTCTACTTTTCTGCACTTCCTGGACAAGGTGTGATCTACAACATCATAGTATGGGATCCTCATTGGAATACTTCTGCTGCATACATACCTGTGCATACATATGCTTGCAGCTTTGTTGACCTAGCAGATAACTGCTCTTCTCTCAGTAAGTTGGGACTTGAATGTCCTTGCCAACTCATCTCAAGCTTGTGCTCCAACATGTTGAACGGTGCTTTTGGGATTTTTAAATGTGTGAAGGATCTGTTTTACACCAGATATGTTTTGTTACTTTGAGGGTGTCTACTTCCTGATCTAGGAGAAATTCTAGAATGATGAAATAAAACTAAGGAGAACTATTGGTAATTGAAGGTTTAACTTTAATGGAGGCTTAGTGTTGCACATAATCGTTTGCAAATATATAATTCTCAACTCTATAGTTTCACTCTAGCTTTTTCTATTTAAACTGGATGCATAGTCCTGCAAGTGATGTAAGATGATAGACATTGCATGTAAACTAAGCTAATAAAACATGAACTACATTAGGATCCAGACTGATTTTTCTAACTGGTGTTGCTAACAGGAATCAACCTACAAATATTTTGAAAGGAAACAGTCACCTAAAAAGTATAAAGATGTCAACAATAGCAGAATGACTACAAAGTCATACTGCTTTGTACAGTTGTATGGTGATAGAATTTGAGCAGGAAAAGAGCAAAGCTTCCACTCACATTATGACTGTGGAAGGGACAAGAATAATGGGTAATATATGGTTCATAAAGTAAGACTTGTTCGTATTATTATTTTCTTGTATACTGTAACACAAGTAACTTGTCAAACTCAGTGTTGTCTTAATTCAGAGAGCTATGAAGATGTGGTTTACCTCTGAATAACCTAAATACTAGCAAGAATTTTTCCTAGGAGGTACAGGTGAACCATACTGGGTTGCTGATGGTCATTTCCATTGCATGGAAGATAAAGGGAGACTGTGGCAAAGGCTGCAGTGATAAAGGCTACAGCTGCTGCCTGTACTCCTGTAGCACTGATTTTTATAGGTGATTTGATGTCTCTTTTTAGCTGAGCAGAGAATTTTCAGGTAAAGCTGTATCTGTATTATAAACAGCAAGTTATAGCTACTGAACTGGTACAGAAAGTTCAGCCTTTTGAATAAGGAGGAAGCTCTTGATTATTGAGTCTGGAATGACTATCTTGACAGAGTTCCTGTCAAGATAACTGTTCAGGCATTGAAGATCTGTTCACATGCTGTGTCTGAAGGAGTGGCAGCTATTAAGTTATCAAGAAACTCAGTGACAGCAACCTGATCTTACCTTAGTCTCATTGTTGGGACTACTAGGTGGAAGGCTATAGTAACCCTTACTTTCTCCTTGTAGGCAAACTCTCTACCAAAGTATTTTTTACTGCTCTTGCTGTTCTGGGTCTCTTCACTTGCTTTTTTGGACACAGATTCTGGAAAACAGGTACTAAATGCATTGGATTTTTTTTTTCTTGTGAGTCTGGGCTTTCATAAATGTTATTTGCTGTAACTTAGAATGGTGGTGTTATTACTAAGACTCACTTGATAGTGATCCCATGCTAGTTAGGTCCACTGCTTTGCTTTTACAGGTTCTGAGCTTTTAAGCGCAGAGCAAGAAGTTCCGGATATGCAAAGAATAAAATGTAGAACTAGGGTGCACACTGGGTGATATAGATGTAAATATGTAGTTTTTTTGACTATATGAAGTGCTTGAAGATGCTTTTTTTCCAAAACAGTGTTGTCTGGCTTTCATTTTATGCTTCTCAGTCAAGTGAGCTGGTATGTTTCTTTCCTGTTATAACATGAAGAGGTACTGAAGTGGGCTTGGTATGAAGTGATATTACAGCAAACTGAAAATTTTCCTTCTTTTTTAGACTTATTCTTCATGGGCTTCATATTCACAGCATTCTTCTTCTTCATATTTATTACGAGGGTAACTGGCCTGAGTTATGATGGTGAGTAGATGTGTCAGGATACCCAATCCTCTTCCCAAAGTACTGTTGTTGTCCTTTAGGTAAAATCTCAGTTGTGCTTGTTGCTTGCCAGCTTTAGGAAGGGTACTACAATGGTACCTGCGTACTTGAACTGAGCTCTAATTGCCATAACAGCTGAATATGCAACAGGGTAACTGTTCCTTCCAACAGCAAATAGTGATGCAGAATTAATACCTGCAACTATAACAGACAGATTTGTAGGAAGGAATATCCAAGGAAGATATAGGTTTTTAGAAACCCTGGAAATTTGCAATATATTCCTCCTTTCATAATGAGTGGACCTCAGTTTCAGATTAAACGCAGATTTCATCTGTAAACAGAAGTGGAGGATCTGCACGCTGCTTTTTAAACTAGCAAGAATTAGTTCCTTTTGGTTTTGTCCTACCTCATGTAGTTACTTTTTTTGATACACATGCATTAGCTGTTGCAACCATAACTGCCCTGGGAACTCAAGGTACTGCTATAGGTAGTAGCAAGACTCTCATTCCATCCCCATGTCACTCTTTCAACAGCACCACCTCAGTTGCAGGCTGGAGCTTAAGTGAAATGCATGAAGCAGGTACTAATACTTGTTGCTTTTTTCAGAAAGCTTTCATTAGGTAACAATCAAACATGTAAATAATACTGCTGAATACTTATTGCAAATAACCGATGTTTTAGGAGTGGTGGAATTTCCCCTTTTCTTTTTCAGTGCGTCTTATTTTGACAGCAGTAGCTGGAATTATTGGAGGGCTTTTCCTGGTTGCAAGCTGGTGGAGATTTGGTTCTGTCCTACTCTGTATGTATGTTATTGGACTTGTGCTGGGATTTCTCTTTTCATCGATGGTCTTCTTTACTCCACTAGGTATGCACTGAAATACACTGCTGCAAAGTCCTGGCTATTGAGTGATGTATTCCTGCT